CATGACTAAAAAAATTATACAGTATTTAAAAAGCAAAACTAAAATTATCTTCTCGGATGTCAAGACTCTTTAAAAGAAAAACAAGACCAAAAATAAGTATTTCAAATTTAAATATTTATCTGGAACAATAATGTATCAACAGAATAGAACAGAGTTGAGAATAACCTATCTATCATGTATAGGTTATGAAGGGTGCTATTACCATCCAATAGAGAAAGAAAAGTTTTCTCAACAAATGGCATCTACATAGGTACCTGCCAAAAAATGAAGTTCAACCCATACCTCACACTATACAAAAATAACTGAACTGGATCCAAGACCTAAAGTAAGAAACTAAATCTCTAAACTCTCAGAACAACACACCAGTAAGAAGTTGATGATCTTAGATATGATAAGAGAGTCTTACATATGATATCAAAAGCAGAACAACAAAAAAAAAAAAACTATCAAAGACTGGGCAAAGGGAAGTGCCTAGTGGGTGATGTCTGTAACCTTAGATGTTTAGGAGGCTAAGATCTGAGGATCATGGTTTGAAGCCAGTCCAGGCAGAAAAGTTTATGAGACTCTTAGCTCCAATTAATCAGCAAAAAGTGGAGGTATGACTCAAGTGATATAGCACCTATCTCGAGTGAAAGAGAACAGAAGGCCCTGAATTCAAGCCCAGTACTGCCACCTGCACACACGCGCGCGCACACACACACACACACAGCCCTGAATTCAAGCCCAGTGCTGCCACTGTGCACGCACGCGCGTGAACACACACACACACACACAAAGCAAAGGCCAGAGGCAGTGGTTCACATCTTTGCTTATCCCTCCCAAGGCCAGCCAACTTCCAGACTGTAAAGAGCTTGCCTGTGAGATTTCCATTAATACACAATCTGACCTACTCAGAGCCCACCCCAATCCTCCTCCTATGCCCTGACTAAATATTCCACCGTCCAGGTAGAATATCTCAATAGCTATGTACATATGACCATATAAGATGACACTAAGCAAAATGAACTCCAAGATATAGACACAAGAGGTTTTACTTTGTTCTTGTTGTTTTTAATGTATTATGTGATTTCTTGTTTCTTTTGTGTGTTCTTCCCCCTATGGTTTATCCCTGTTGTCACTGTATTTGATTTTGGTATCCTGGTATTGTATGTAGGTTTATCTGAACTAGGGAGGAGAAGGGGAACAACAAAATGGTGAGACAAAGAACAAAGGGGAAACCAATGCAACAGCGATACTCACAAGGTAATATGTTGAACATGAACTTTACAACTTGGGGGGGGATGAAGGAGGAGGGAAAGAGAGAGAAAAAATGAGAGAGGGGGGGTAACAAGTTGGACAAGAAATGTACTTATTACCTTATTTCTATTATTGTAATCCCTCTGTATATCACCTTGACAATAAAAATAATAAAAAAGTAATAAAAAAGACACATACATTGAAAAGATATGTTAGGTGGGCATATGTTAGGTGGATTTCAATGCTGAAGGTTTTAAAGAACTTTATTCGTATTCCATATGGATTGTAATCAGCTAACTCTACCCACTTCAGAATTTCCAAAAGCAGAACAAGAAAGCAACATCTGTTGGTTCCAGCTGGGTAGAAATAGAGCACTTTTTAAAAATAAAATTTTAGTTAAAAATCTATGAAATTAAAATGGAAGGCGCAGAGTATAAGCTGATTATTACCAGACCATTACTTTAAGAACAAAACAAAACGGACACATCCAAGAACCCTTCTTCCAACACCAAGGTGTTTTCAATTTACTGAAAGCTGACAGGTACTTAAGAAATAGTCTGAATGCATTTCTGGTATCTCTATTTCCTACTTTTGAGAGTAAAACAACTTATATGTACATAAAATTTAAACCAATAGCTTAGGAAAAAGACATTTAAACAACAAAATTTAGACTATTCCAAAATATAGTGATCATTTCTTCAAGAATTTCTTCATCCAGATTAGATAACTATCTTGTCACTCATTTCCACATCTAAATTACCCATAAGTTCTGATAGCTGTCTTCACAAAAGTCCCATCATCTCAATCAATTATCAGTTTGCCATACAGCTCTAGCACTCTTCTAAAATAAAAATTTGGCTACATCAATATCCACGTAAACTTTCCCATGGAGTTTTCACTGAACTTACAGTAAATACAGACTGGTTACTGTGATCTACTTTGGCCTAAATAATTTCTTCAACTGCATTACAGTCTATTCTCCTCTTTGCACTCAACATCAGAGTCAAACTGGATTTCTCTCAGTTCCTAAAATATGCTAGGTTCTCACAGTCTCACATGGATATTTTTTTTTTTTTTTTTGTCGGTTGTGGGGCTTGAACTCTGGGCCTGGGCGCTGTCCCTCAGCTCTTCAGCTCAAGGCGAGCGCTCTACCACTTGAGCTACAGCGCCACTTCCGATTTTCTGGTGGTTTATTGGAGATAGGAGTCTCACGGTCTCTCCTGCCCGGGCTGGCTTTGAACCGCGATCCTCAGATCTCAGCCTCCTGAGTAGCTAGGATTACAGGCGTGAGCCACCAGCGCCCGGCTCACATGGATATTTTTAAACCTTCAGAATTTAGAATAAATGAGAATCATTTGCAAACCCCTCCCCCATTCTCAACTTAGCTAAAGGCTCTGAGGATAAGCCCTTACACAATGATCACACTTCTTTAAAGCAGTTAACATAGTTACCATGTAGGCATATCTATGTAATTATCTAATGACCATATTCCTTACTAGAGTACACATTTCACATGGACTGAGCTAATTAATTAGTCTATCATGCTCACCCCTAATTCTCCACATCCACAATGCATTTGATAACTTTGTTTGAAAGAAAATTAAATTCTAATTCAACAAGAAAGGAGGTATAAGGCAAAAATCTCTTAGAGTGAAACTTCCAATTTATCCTCTGAGTTTATAGCATAGAGAATCTCTGGAAGTTTTATTCATGGAGACTTTTTGAAATCTGCACTACTAGAAGGTATGCATATATACCCAAAAAGTTGTTGTTGCTGCTGCTGGTGGTACTGTTCTGTTTGTTGCTTAACATTTCTGTTCTATGGTTTGAAATAGACAGTATTCCCCCAAATCCCAATACCAAAGCACTGGCCCCAGGGTAGAAGTAATAGAGGTGCTATGGACCTGTGAGGAGTAAGTCTTCTGGAAAGATCTTTGGATCACTGAGGCATGTCTGTAAAGGAGATTGTAGGACTTACATTTCTTAGTCCTCGCTTATGATTTCAGTGTTTTGTGCTGACACCGCCCATTACTTCACCAGAGTGTCTTCACCAGAGGCTCAAAGCAATAGGGCCACCTGATCTCAGATCAAAACCCCAGAACTGCGAGCCAAACAAAAGATGAATTTTGACAGCCAGAAGGAGGATGAGCTTTGCTTTGTAAAATACAATTAAGCAAGGAGTTAATGACATTGTTAGGTCTACCTAAATACAGAGCTGGCCTATTCATTAATTCACCAAGTATTAATTGGGTGACCAATATGTACCTGGTGGTTTTCCAAACATTAATTATACTGATGTAGATTGTGACCCAGGGTCTTTCTTTAGATGTGGGAATGACAAGGCAGTGAAAACATTAATTTCTAAATTATCTCAGAATAGCATAATATGTAGATTAATTTAAACTGAGATTCCTATTAATTAGCAGTTCTACCTTTTGCTATATCTTGCCTGTAAGTTCTTCAGAGGGAAAAAAACCTTATTTGGTTGATTACTAATAATAAACTTATTATCACCTAGTATAATAGCTAATATGTAGAAAACATTCAATGCCACTTTCTAAAGGTAGGGAGGCAAAAAAGTAGAAAGGAAGAGGAAGGGAGAGAGGCAGAAAAGGGGAAAGAGGAAGAGAGGGAGAAAGAGAAAAAGAGAGAGAATATGCTAACTTGCTTTTCTCATTGTACCAAGCCAGAATCTAGCCGTGAGCTTTGTACATACTACTAGCACACTGTTCCTAAGCTTTCTTGCTTACAGCTGATGCTCTACCACTAGAGCCATGCTTCTAGCCTTGCTTTTTTATCAAAAATTTTATTTTATTGTAAAGGTGATGTACAGAGGGTTACAGTTACATAGGTATGGTAATGAATTCATTTCTTGTTGAACATTGTTACCCCTTCCCTCGTTTTTCTCCCACTTCTCCTACCCCCAACTTCCCTCTCCCGCAAGTTGTAAAGTTCATTTCCAACTGAGTGTCTTGTGAGTTTGATGCTGAGTTAGTTCACACTTTGCTCTCTGTCTCACCATTTTGTTATTCCCCTTCCCTTCCCGAGATCAGATAAACTTATATACGACACAGAGTAAATGTTGCTGTGGGGTTTTTTAATCTAGCCTTGCTTTTGGCTGGTTAATTGGGGGTAGGGTCTAACATACTATTATGTCTGGAGTATCTGTGAATCAAGATCTGCCAGATCTCAGCCTGATTCTAATGCCGTAGGCATGAGCCACCAGTGTCTGACATATATCTCTTTCTCTAATAAAGTTAGATGTCACAAAAGTCAGATCATATTGATTGCTCTTTCAACTGAACTATCAACATTTGGTCAGTATCTGTATCTTGCTCTGTAAGACAATGTGGAATGCAGGGAAATCTAAGAATTTAGACCACTGACAGCAAATAAATTCCACTGCTTGTATTCATTTATATATCAGGTATGATTCCACCATTGTGATGGTCTTCACATTAAAGCTCTTTTTATATCCTCTCTAGGTCAAAGTACAACACTTTAGAGGATTTCTATGAAAAGCTTGAAAAATTTACTTACAAAATTTAACAAAAGTAACGAAAGAAAGAAGGGCCACAATAAATGCTTTTGTCCATTCTACTTGGTAACTAGGGTGATAAAGATGATTTCCTCTTCTAAAGTACCATTTTGAACAGATTTTGTATATTCATTTGGTGTTGTCATTTAAGAACACTAGAATAAACATATCCAAACATGTAGCTAGCGAATAACACAGACTAGACCAGTCATTGAGAGTAACTTACAGGGTCGGCAGGCCCGCAGAACTCTCGAAACGTCTTGGCAGGGTTACTCTGTTGAATCTCCAGAGCCACACAAGGGCCAGAATACATTTCTGTCACCATCTCCTATGACACGTATTATAAAGGAACACAAGAGAATCAGTACAATTAGGTAATATTTTACTCCTCCTTTTTGTTGTGTTACCATCCCACTAATCTCCAAGTGCTAAAGACCTCTGACTTCTTCCCACCTGTATCCCATACACTGAGCAGTTTCCAAATTATGTCCACTTTTCCTGAAAGAATTCTTTTAGATATAGTCCTTCATCTCCATCCCTATCATTTTAATGGAATACTTCACCACCTCATATTTCCATTGTCTGAAATTATCTTTTAGTATATTTCACTTGGTCCTAGAAACTAAACAAAATACACAAAGCAAGTTTTTGGACTGGATGACAGGAGGTATGTACTGTGACTCCTGGGAGAGGGGGGAAATGAGACGAGCAAATGATTGGTCCACTTTATTGCCGGCAAACAATTCCCAGGGAGGAAGGAGAGACACAGGGTATGTGAGAACACACAATAGAGTCCAACACTGCCACTGCACTAAAGATACAGGGATGAAGTAGAGTGAGGACAGTGTAAATAGAATTTTCAGGACAGAGTAACAGAAAGACAGGATGGGAGGTGCCCAGATCCTAAGACTCTGATTTTCAGTCTTCATGACATTGAAGTACACTGACATAGAAGCCTAAAGGGCCCAATTCTTTACAGGAGAGGAAGGAATAAAATGTCCCCTCCACCAAAAAATTAATTTCTCTACTTTTCCTGTTTTCTTCCCATCTTCCCATCTTCTTTCATTTTCTTCTCCTTTCCTTCTCTTTTGTATCTATATCTATCTCTCTATCCCCTCACTCACTTTCAATGTGATAACAGATGACATCAAAAATAGATGGAAAGGCTGTTCAAAATGTATAAAGTGGAAAGAAAAACATGTTGAGCAAAGAACTCCATCAAACGTATGTTTCATTAAAAGTTGATCCACATGAATTTTTGGACTACTTTTTCTATTTCCTTGAAGAATGAGGTTGGGATATTGGCAGGTATAGCACTGAATTTGTAGATAGCTTTTGGAAGTATTGCCATTTTCATGATGTAAATCCTCCCCTATGACCCAGCAATCCCACTTTTAGGCATTTGCCCAAACGATCACAAAGCTATACTAAGCACAACCATGTTTATCGCAGCATTATTCACCATAGCTAAGATATGGAACCAACCCAGATGCCCCTCAGTAGATGAATGGATCAAGAAAATGCAATAGAGAATTCTATGCCTCCAACAGAAAGAATGACACTGTCCCTTTTGTTAGGAAATGGAAAGACCTGGAAAAAATTATATTAAGTGAAGTAAGCCAGACCCAAAGAAACATAGGTCCCATGGTTTCCCTTATCTGTAATAACTAGTATATGTCGAGAACAAGCAGAAGATGTCAAAAGCTATGTATATATGATCATATAACCTGATGCGAAGCAAAATGAACCCCAAGATAAGGACACATGAGGTTTTATCTTTGTTGCTGTTCTTTTTAATGTACTTTTAATCTACTATGTAATTGTTTTTGGTTTCTTTGTATGTTCTTCCCCCATGGTACAACCTCTGTTGTCAGTGTATTTGATTCCAGTGTCCTGCATCTTGTATATACATTTTTCTAATTTGGGGAGGGGAAGGGAAATAAAATGCTGAAATAAGATACAGGTTGACCCGCTGTAACAATGAGATATACAAGACACTATGTTGAAAACGAACTTCACAACTTTGCAGGGCAGGGGGTTGGGGGAGGGGAGAGAGGAAATGGGGAGGTGGGGAAGAAAGAGATGTTAGGAGAAAAATAAAGGAGGGTATAACAATGCCCAATAGGAAACAGACTCATGACCTTGCTCATGTAACTGTAACCCCTCTGTACAGTATTTTTACAATAAAAATATATATTTTAAAAAAGATTAAAAAAGTTGATCCAAAAAAAATTAAGTCATCCTAAGTTTTAATTAAGAAATAAGGTTTTTTGTAGGGTTTTCTTTTGCAATTTTTTCGTGAGAACAGGTTGCAGTAAGATAATACATCCTCGATTATGATAGATAGATAAATAAATAAATAAATAAATGGCAGGAATTCTCCCTGCCTTTTAGCATCTGTCTGGATGACTTTATACAAAATAAACTCATTTGCTCTCAAAGGTGTTGAATGAAAAGGCGCACGGGACTATGGAGGGGTGAGATGTAGTAATGGAAATCTGAAGGCTTAACAAACAACCTGGTAAGGAGAAACTTTTTGAAAAAGAAAGAAAACATGTTTGTTTCCTTTATACTCATTTACTGACCTAAGCGAGTTGTGTATGTGATCATTTGATTCAGTTATGTCCATCCTCACCAGAATATAAGCTCTATGGATGTTTTATCACTGATGGTTACAGTATATCATATATATTCAATGTATCTCTGGTGAATTCATGATAAAAACAAGAAATTGTCATCCAGCAATGTACACCTAAGTTGCTTCTATACCTTGGCTCTTGTGAATAATGTTGAAATAAACACAGCATGCAGGTAAGTTTCCACATTCTGATTTCAATTTGAGTGTGTATATACCTAGAAATATGTATTACACACACACACACACACACACACACACACACACACGCATACCTAGAAATGGAATTGTGGATTATGTATGGAAATTCTAGTTTTTGTTTTTTTAAGAAATTCTCACTCTGCTTTCTAAAACAGCTATAGTAATTTCTACCCCTATCAGCAGAGTGTAGGGTCTGTTTCTCCCAAGCTCGTTATTGTGGGTTCACTGAGCTTTGGCCCTTTCACTCAGCCTCAGGTCAGACACTTGCCACCACATCCAGCTCTTCGCCCATTTTTAAACCCTCTTATTTTTTTTACTTTGCAATTCCTTTTTCTGAGTTTCTTATATATTTTAAATATTAACCTCTTATCAGATATACAATTTGCAAATCATACTTTAAGTGATACTTACCTTACGCTTTAGATTGAATACTTTGAATGATTATAAATTATACTGAAATTCCAAGGATCTGAGACACACAAATTGTTTTCAGTACTATGATTTTTCAATTTACGATAATACTTACATTATAATCAGTTACTACTCCTTTATAAACTTCATAGAATTCTTCAACATTAACCTGATCCATATTGAACTGTACCAAAAAAAGAAAAAGAAAACATAAGCCAACTGGCCAAACAAAGAAAAAGAAGCTACATTTAGCCCTCAACAATTATCATCCCTTGGATATATTCTGCTTATAAGACAGACAGACAGACAGACAGACAGACAGACAGACAGACAGACAGACAGACAAGACAGACAGAGAGATACGGTTTTACTCTCTAGCACAGGCAGAACTAGAATTCATTGTCACCCTTCCTCAGCCCTCCAAGTGCTGGGATTATAGGTCTGTGTCACTATACTCAGCTTGTTCTTTAACTTTTAAAATGTCAATCTCTTTCCCCACATTTTATTAGCATCAGTTAGTTCTGTGAAGGGATTCCTGTTTGACTATCTACATATGCCGACCACAAACCTTAACTCTCCTCTCTTCCCATCCCTCTCTCTCATCCCCTACTTAAACCAAGTTCAACAGCAAACTTTGCATCATTACACTTCACAGAAGAACACATGGTATAAAGAGTTAGCTGACCACTAAGTGCAACAGACAGAGATCACTGAGAGGTTAATGTGTGAGGTTCTATGCATGAATCACCTTATTTAATCTTCACAGTATATATCATGGCAAAGGTGCTGTGACTGGTGCAAATTTACAGTCAGGGCTACCAAGACCCAGAGACCCTACATCTCCCCACACTGGCATTTGGCCTCCAGGAATCTGACTCACTGAACATGCTTTTAGCCACTACCCTACACTGCTCTGAATAAAGCCTCATTCTTGATATGATAAAAAAAAAATCTATGTCATAGAATGCTTGTTGGTTGATTAACGGTACAAGAAGAAAGGTGACTAACCAACGTCTAGTGCTTCAGATTTTGTAGTGGGGATGAAAAACAACTCTATTTTCCTCTTAAGCTTCCAGAAAAATCCCCACTCTGGTGTATAACAAAACACTTAAAGATGTCATCTGGGTATCCTACTAATCTTCAGAAACAATAGTAAATAATAGCAAGCTTACAGAGTGAGTCTAGAACAAATCATTCTTTTCAATTCAGACAGGCTTTAAATTTAGTTAGAAATAAAAATTTCATTAGGTCTAGGAACTCAAAACTTAATTTTAAAAAACAGCCTCTGATTTTCAATTTTATTTTCTTCTACTGTTTATTTTTGCCAACGTTGAATATTACTGAGAAATTCCTGCCTACATAGTTATTAAAGAAGAATGTAGCCTCATAGATAACCCTGCTATTAGAGGGAGGGAATTCTGTTTCAGTTCTACCTTTCAACCATGTAACCTGTATTATTAATGCAGCAAAATAAAAGCAGAAGAGATAATATATTAAATACTTAGTAATTTGTTCAGGAAACTCTGATCATGGCTATTTAATCTGAAGAATAGCCCATTTACTCAGAATGCTCATGTCTTAGATGAGAAAATTGAGAATAAGAATGCTTGAAATTTGCCAGTCACATATCTAGAAAACAGCTGATCTCAGATTTAGAAATAGATTTTTTTTAATTTTGAAACTCAATAGCTACACGTCATTACATTATCATGCTTCTAACAGATTTAATTAATAATAGTAATAATAATAATATCATTACCTACTATGACTAATCACTGTGATAGATTGTAGGCCAGCATTAAGGTCAATATTTAAAACTATAATTCCTATAATTATAATTTTTAAATTAATCTTACATCTTCTGATATTTGGAAAACCTTACCTATATTATAAAGGATTTTTTTAATTTAATTTTATTGTCAAGGTGATGTACAGAGGGGCTACAGTTACATACCTAAGGAAGTGAGCACATTTCTTGTAAAACATTGTTTTCCCCTCCCCCTCAACCCCCACCCCCAAGTTGTACAGTTCATTTCCAGCATATTGTGGGTATTGCTGTTGCATTGGTTCGCCATTTGTCCTTGGCCAAAACAGTAGGGGAAAAACAAAGGAGGAGGTAACAATGCTTGATAGGAAATGTACTCATTACCTTGATCATGTAACTGTAACCCCTCTGTAGAGTACTTTTACAATAAAAAAATGTATTTAAAAATAATAAAGTAACTGCTACTGCACCTAAAGAAACTCCTGGCTGATGGGACCTAAAAGGCCATTTCTCCTAGGTGCCAGTATCCTCATAGGAGATGCAGAGTTCTAATTCTCAGATTCTACTTGGAGTGGAAGGACCAATCACTTATACTATTCCATGCAAGGTTTCAGGGCCAAATTTTACCCTCTGCATTGTGTGCAACTTTTATATAAGGCAAATTAGAATTATGTGAGTTTGGGGTAGGGTTAGAGCTTTGAAAAATGTGTGAGTCAATCATGAATTAACTATGTATTCATTTTACTTGGCCAGAATAGTATTTGACGTACATGACATTATAAACTGCCTTTGTTTTTGGTTCTTTTTATATACAGGTTTAGTTTACAAACCTACATGTAGAATGGCTTATATGGAGTGTCATGCTCCAAAGAATAGACCTATGAGACCAAAAATGATCTAGGCTTTTTTTAATCACAACATGAAACTTTCAAAGTTAGTACCCATTCAATATAGGAAATGGACTCTGGTGTCGTATGACCAATCAAAACATCTGTACTTTGCTTCGGACCTCATTTTAGAACAATAATGTGCCTTTCTGGTTGTCCTGCATCGGTTATATGATAAATTTGCATTCCTGAAACATATACCAAATCATGGTATTTCAGTGACTAGCACATTGCCTGGCGCACAGTATGCGCAGCTGTGTGCGTGAGTGAATGAGGGAGTGCAGAAGCTTGTTACATGGCCCAGGGAAGCCAACTGGCGCGGGATCACAAACTCATCCCAGGCAAACTAATGACGCTAATTTATTTTTACCTCACACTAAGTAATGCCTGATAAAGACACTAATGCTCGACTTATAAAACATTAGCACAGTGCTATGCACATAGTTAGGTGCTTAATGTTGGATGAACAGATTTGCAACACTTGACATAATTCCACCTGACTACTTGTACATTTCCAGTTAGCATAGATACTGTAAAATCCAAATACACCTTCAATTTTGTTTTCCTGAAAGTATGGCATCTAAAATATTTGTATAAGATCCTTGTCACAAATGATCTGAATGTTTGTATTTTCTTTTGGCTTTGATATTGGCTGAAAAATGTGTCTCTTCATCCTATGTATTGTTAATGGAACATGCAACTCTACTAAAAATGACAAGAACTTCTCAATGATCATTTGTCTGAAGCCATTACAGGAACTCTTGGGTGGATTCATGTGGTGTAGCAGTTACTGGACCTCAAGAAGTCAAAAGACTTCGCGTAAGTATCTTCCCGTAAAAAAGAAATGCTAGGCTCCAAGTTCATATGTACATTGTTACAGAGCAAAGTAAACTGAAATTGGCTACTATTTTTTATATATAATAACTCTGCAAAAGCCCATTTTTGAATACTAATATTTGACATGGTTAATTCTTATTAATTTGTTGTAATTGTTTATTGTTAATAATGCAAATAGATAATTTTTAATTATCCACAAGTAACATTTCACTATTAATGGTTTGAAATGGTTGAAAAGCAAACCAATTTGAAATAAAATATAAACATGTGCCATTGTATTATAACACTACATACTTTCTTGACAGTTAAATTAAAAAAAAATGTTTTTGTAGCATGTATTGTATATGTTTATAGTATATGTAGTAAATAAAAATATAGCCAAATATATAATAATAAAATAAAATAAAAATTAACTTGCTGGGGCTCTGTTCTGAAAACTAAATTGTTTATCTGAGTCTCATGATATTTTGGCACTTGAATTATTGTTAAATGCACCAATGAATAAAGGTCAAAGGTATACTGCTATCAAAATGTGAACTGCTGGGTTTTTTTCAGCTAAGGGCATCCTGCGGGTGTATAAGCAGGGAAATTCTGAGCAAGTATATAGGCTTGAGACCCAGTGAAGGAGGTGTCCAGACAGAGAATCTGAAGTATACTAACTCTAAAGGAAGAGTCTAGAGCCCAGTACCACCAGATCAAGGGGAAATAAGTGAACTGATTCCCTTCCATCATTATCAACTAGTTAAAAATGCAGAAGAGAGAAAAACCCCTGACATTCTGTACTTTGAATCTATGTTTCACTTGTAAAAACTTACTTATTAGAACTAAAAGTTTTGGACTGAAGTTTTAAGAAATTTACAAACTTCCCTTGCAAGCTTAAATGAGTATACTAGGTAAATTTTCCTTTTCTCAGTTAAATATAGTTATTGAATTCAGTATGTGAGTCCACTATTTTTGAAACATTGAGTTCATAAGTACACTTGAATACTGAGTTTAAAACATTTTAAAAGAAATTATTTAAAAGAAATTCTAATTAATTATGGCTCGTGGGTCATTGCAAACTATGTACCATCTGCATAGCTGAAACTTCAAAGCCTCCATCACGAATACTCATCAAGATCTTTCCCAACAGTCCTGAAAATGAAAAATAAATGGACATAAGGCAAGATATTTAAACCATTTTAGTTTCCTAGAAATACCACGCTTCAATGTCAAATTATTTTGCTTATACTCTATAAGCAGCACGTTCTTTTTAAAAGAAAGAGTAAATCTGGAATAACGAGAATTACAATTAATCCTTAGACGGCCCTCAGTGAATGCTTCAAGACTATCAGTGACAGCCCTGAAGCTAACAAAAAATCTTTTAAGATACTATTTTTGCCTAAAAGGCCACAGAAGACTAGTGATTTAAAAATATGAAAAATAAGTCATTTTAAAATAACTCTTAAAAATGAAATGTCAAAACAGTGGCCACAGAAGGAAATCAAAGAGCAGTTCTAAGAAGGAGAAAAATGAAATTATAAAAAGGTAGACAGAAACTTCAAGGGAGAATGAAAGCTGAAAGGTGCCTGACAGCATAGCAAGATGGTAGGTCCACATAAGGCAGGAGAAAAGACACAGCCCTGGGAAAGTGTGTGTACGGCTACAGGGCAGCGAGAAGCAAGTCAGAAAAGAAAAGCAAAACAGAAAAAGACAAGAGACTTAATCCAAACTAATGAAGGTCTTAAATGCCAGCATGAGGAATTTGAGCTTTATCTCACAGATGAGTGGTTTTTAAAATGGGGTCTGCCTATTCTAAAACTGCAGGGCTGGCTTAAAGATCCTATTGATTTCTTATAAAAATCTAAGTTCTTTTATTTATCTATTCATTTTTGCAAAGCAGTTAAGACTTGTTTTTTTCCTGCTCTCTCATGGTATTGAGTCATCTGAAAGTTCACTTAGATATTACCACGTATATAGTGCTTTATATACGTTTTTATTTTACTAACTTACTGTAGCTAATTAGTGCTATTTTAGTTGCAGCAGGCTGAGGGATGGAGGAGAAAAAGACAGGTAGATGGATATGTTTCTCAAATATCACAATTGTATCAAGCAAAGGCCAACTGATTTAGCTGTGAAAACAAAGGTTTCCCAGAAGTTTGAAGATTTAAAAACAGCAGCTAACTGAGTCAATGTTATAGAACCTGCACATGCCTAAATCAAATCTGAACCCTAGTCATTTTGAGCTGGTTTTGAACAATATTTCTTGTCATATTAATATTACTAACTTGTATAGTATTCATTGGATACTATATAATGGATCCATAAGTTACTTTAGCTATACTTAGGACTTATTTAAATTGCATTACAAAAAAATAATTTGTTAACATCATGAGTTCATGGCTTGCCTTGAGCTGAAAAGCTCAGGGACAGCGCCAGGCCCAGAGTTCAAGCCTCACAATCGACAAAAAAAAAAGTGGGGGAAATAATTATTTGGATAAAAAAATGTTAGATAGCATGTTTAGAGACAAAGACTGATAAGCATTTGAGGCAATAACATATACAATGGTATACATGAGGCCCTATGTTCAGTGCCTAGTGACACACACACAAAAAAAATCTTTATGGAGATCAGGAAATGTTTCCAAGGGCACACAGAGGAGAAATATCAAAGAAGTGTAAGCTATTCCCAACATTACACATTACAATCATCTTTGCCAAGTGCAGTAAAACTTCATTGAGCTCATTCCCATGGCTCTGTCTAGCTTCTGTTTCTTCTAATCCAGTCAAAGGGTAGATCCTGTATACTACATCATTACAATACATCATTAAACCCTAAGGTGACTGATGTAAACATTATAGTTGCTAGATCCTGGGCTTTGGCTGTCTAGCAACAGGTGTTATTTTATTTCAATCAAGTGTGAAGAGTACATTCTGATATTAAAAGATAAAAGACACAGTGACTTTCCATTGTTTGGTCTTTAATAGACAAACCATTATCATAAAAGCGCATAATTAAGCTAAGAATGAATTTAATCCTTCATCCAACAATCAATCAAGAATTCATGGGGCTGAGAAGGTGGCTCAGTGGTAGAGTGCTTGCCTTGCATGCATGAGGCCCTGGGTTTGATTCCTCAGTACCACATAAGCAAAAAGAAAAAAGCTGGAAGTGGCGCTGTGGCTCAAGTGGTAGAGCGTTAGCCTTGAGCTGAAGAGCTGAGGGACAGCGCCCAGGCCCAGAGTTCAGGACCCATGACCAGACCCCCAAAAAAAAACTACAACAAATCGAATGACTAAAATACGTAAATAACAGTGGAACGTGATAAATTACATAGGAACCTACTCATTAACATACAGAGGCCGAAGGAGGCTATATCGTATATTAAGGCTCAATGACTATGGACAGGTGATCATATTAATAGTCTATGACATGAACTCCAAGAAAAGGAAACAAGAGACATTCTTTTTTTTTTTTTTTTTTGGGTCCGGTCGTGGGGCCTGAACTCTGGGCCTGGGCACTGTCCCTTAGCTCTTCAGCTCAAGGCTAGCGCTCTACCACTTGAGCCACAGCGCCACTTCCGGCTTTTTTTCTTTTTGCTTATGTGGTGCTGAGGAATCGAACCCAGGGCCTCAGGCATGCAAGGCAAGCGCTCTACCACTGAGCCACCTTCCCAGCCCCACAAGAGACATTCTTTAGTTGGCATTGTTGCTGTTTTTGTCTTCTTTTCCTTTTGTCTTGTTTGTTTGTATTTGGGATGGTAAGGGAGGGCACATAAAAAGTAGAACAAGGATGAACAAATACAACGGTGATACTCACTAGACACTATGTGGGTGGGGATGGGAGGGAAAGACCAGGAGAGAGTGAGAAGGGGAGACTTGGTTCAAAAGGAATTGTACTGATTGTATCTGATTCATGTACTGAGACCCTCTGTATATCAACTATACAATAACAATTTTCAAAAAAGAAAGAGGGGGCAGGAGGGCTGGGAGGAGCCATAGCAAGATAAAGAAACCAGTCTGCCACTATGAATATAAGACATACATTAGAAAGTAGTTCTAAAAGTTAAAAAGAAGGAGGAGAAAAATGAGGGAAGGGGTAACAAGTTTGACAAGAAATGTACTTATTACCTTACTTATGTATCTGTAACCCCTCTGTACATCACCTTGACAATAAAAAAAAATTGTACTCAAAAATAAAAGACTTTTCTAACAATGTGCCTGAAGCCATGCCAATACCCACAGACCTTACTGAATCTGCTCCTATCTGTTAATATTTCAATCTTGAATTCAGACTCCCTCAATGAGGTTTTACTATTGTTGACCCAATAATGTCACTATTCTTACTGGAAAATTTTATAGTAAATATACTGATGACTTTTTTTAAAAGTTAGGTATCTTTTAAGGTAAAGACAAAGGTAAGTGTGATACAAAGATATGGTATCCTTTAACATACACAAAAAATGAGGATAAGGTGAAATACTATATATCATTATATAATATATCATAAATATAATAACATAATATACATTTTATGTTATATCATAAAATATTTTCCATGTAAAACTGAATGTTTTCACAACCAAAATATACTACTGACATACAGAATATAATTTTCTAAGGGTTAAGGCATAACACAAGTGGTAAAATACTGGCCCTGAGTTCAAAATCATACTACTGGAAAAGAACATAAAAGCTGAGCATATTTGTAATACCAGCAATAATCCTAGTTCACAAATTTTAGACCTAGGCTTTAGCTGAAGAAACTAGTATAGTACTTTTTCACTTATGTAATAATAAGGATTTTCTTTTTGTCCATGGATATGGATTTTATTAGCATTTTTAACTATTGCTTTATTAGTAGGTTATCAATTTTGTTTAAAAATTGAAAGCTAATGATACTAATGGCAGAGTAGTTGTAGTAGGACAGCAAAGCAATTGTAATAATGGCTATAATGGCTAACACTTATAGAGCACCTAACTAAGTGCTAGGTACTAACCCAGTATCCTTTACATACACATACATTTAATATTCACTCTGAGGACAATATATTATTATCCTCATTTTACAAATATGGAAACAAATAGTCTACAAATAGATAAAAAGGTGAAATAATTTATCCAATATCCCATGGCTAGTAAGTTTCAGAATCAGAATTCAAGTCTAAATAGCTTAATTTAGATTAGAAACAATTCATTTTATAAATGGTCTTAAAGTAGATATATGCAATACTGAGGACATACAAACATACTGAATAATTTTGAAATGAAAAAAAAGCAAGCATGAGAACATGCACATAGTTTCTCCTTCTTTTTTAAAAAGACTCAGTCCAAAATGACAATATAAATTTCAGTCTGTCTATAGAAAGACTGCAAAGGCCTCACAGGTACTCTATTTCCCCACCACTGGTCTCCAAAGCTGACTCTCTTGCTTTTTTCAGTTCTCTTTTGAGGTGAAAAGTGAAACCCACTGAACTACCATGCATTCAGTTCAGGACTGAAAGCCAACTCTGCCTACACAAGCAAGACCAGAAATTCTTGTCCAGAAAGATAAGGATGCAAATCAGTAAATAACTTCATTGTTTGCCCCCAAAGACTTTCTCCAAATCTTTTAATCCCAACAAAAGGCTACTCACTTACCAAACCCAGCCACTCACTTATCCAACAACTGTGTATTTAGGAGACTTAATAAGATCCTGACTCACTGTTTCCACTAACTGGACTGTGGTTCCCAGGACTTTGTACCCTCCTTGATATCAATCAGATCACTCTACTGAAAATCCCACCAGCAACCTCTCTAGGGAAACAACCTGACTCTCCATTTACCTAGGACCTCCTTCTGGTACAGTCTTACTATAGTACACAGTTAACTTAGCTTGGCTAGGTAACTGGCTATTTGTCCATTTTAGGGAAATCAGCTATCAACAGATTCCATTTCAGGTATACTCTCTTATCAAAAACTCCTTCCAAATCTCTTCCTTTAGCACTAGATTAGGCCACAGGCAAAAGTAAATATACTAGGATATGGACTAGAAAAAGACAAACACAAACCAACCAGCAGTTGAGAAGGGGACAAATGAATCAATCATAAATTCAGCATGAGACTTCAAACTTCATTTTATTATTACCACAGTTGAATGAGGATTGGGTTAATTATATGTTTCAAAAATGGTCTTAAAGTATACTGCTATCCAGGTTTAGAAGGAAGATTTTTTTTAAAAAAAAGTAGGATGCTCACATTTATACTGCTATCTTTTACAAATTTTCTTTTGCTCTAAGGAATTTATATATCCTAGTATCTTAAAGGTTCAGTATGGGGCACAGCTTTGTGGTAGATTACTTGTCTAGTATGCACAACTCTAGGTTTGATCGAAGGCTCTGATCTAAAATGGTTTGAATGTGTAAAAATATAAAAATTATATATAACAAAACTTTTTTTGATTGTCTGCTTGTTTTTTATAGGTCGTGGGCCTGAACTCTGGGCCTGGGCACTGTCCCTCAGCTCTTCAGCTCAAAGCTCGCGCTCTACCACTTGAGCCACAGGGCCACTTCCAGCTTTTTCTACCTATGTGGTGCTGAGGAATCGAACCCAGGCATGCAAGGCAAGCACTCTACCACTGAGCCAGCCCCCAAACTGGTTATTTTTACATCACCATACTTTTTTTTTTTTTTGGGTCCGGTTGTGGGGCCTGAACTCTGGGCCTGGGCGCTGTCCCTCAGCTCTTCAGCTCAAGGCTAGCGCTCTACCACTTGAGCCATAGCGCCACTTCCGGCTTTTTTCTTTTTGCTTATATGGTGCTGAGGAATCGAACCCAGGGCCTCATGCATGCAAGGCAAGCACTCTACCACTGAGCCAACTTCCCAGCCCCACCATATTTTTTTTTTTTAACCAGATTCCTAGTTATCATTACCTATATAATTATTAAGATGCATAACTAGTTTTTATTCTAATTCTTCATTATATTTGATTCCTTAAATATAAGTCACATTTTTCTTTACATACATAGTTGATTTTTTAATAGCTCTTAGAGGGGGACTTTATTTGTACAAAATAATGCACACTTATTATAAAACATTTAGGAAATATGAAATATATAGGCAAAAAAATAAAAGGTTTTCCACTATTCCCCAGCCTAGTGCTCCCACCTGAGGAAATCAGTTAATGAACCGCCATACATTTCTAGATTTATCCTAAGAAAGTATACATGCGCACATGTATCTAAATACACAGACTTCAAAAGTAATCTAAGTAAAAATTTTTATTCACAAAGAAAAGTTTACATATATCATAAGTCAAATAGTTGTTACAGAGTGGACACCACAATATAACCATCACCTAATCAAGAAACAGAACATTATCAGTACTATGTTATTTTTTTTTATTTATTTTTGCCCCTCAACAGATAAATGGATTAAGAAAATGTGGCATATATACACAATAGAATTCTACTCATCCATCAGAACGAATGATATTATACCATTTGTATGAATTTGGAAAAAAATAATATTAACTGAAGTCAGCCAGACCCAGAGAAACACAAGTTACATCGTAGTTTCCCTCATTTGTGGGAGCTAGAATGTGCCTATAAACCTAGAAGTAAACTCACTCACTGGGTAGTACCCATGCAGTTATAAATGAATTAACTGGTATATAGGCTCTATGAAGAATGTAAGTGTAAATTCTTTAGAAAGACTAAGTCATAGCCCAACAAAATACGTACCAGGAAATGGGTACTTACAAGGTGTGAGGGAGGGCAAGGAGAGGGGTAGAAGAATGAATGGAGGTGGATGGGGAAGGGATCAAAACACAGGCAAGAATTGCTTCTAATGAAAGTGTTACCAACCATATGAAATTCTTGTTTTTGGTGCTGGTTAGGTAATACATCATAGAAGAAAGAAGATAAAACAACACAAAAAAATCTCAGCTGGACCCAGGTGGCTCATGCCTGTAATCCTAGCTACTCAGGAGGCTGAGATCTGAGGGCAGAGGTTCCAAGTGACCCTGGGCAGGAAAACTGTGAGACTCATCTCCAATTAAACACCAAAAAGCCAGAAGTGGTATTGTAGTTAAGTGGCAGAATGTTAGCCCTGACCAAAAAGGAGGTCAGATACAGTGCCCAGGTCCTGAGTTCAAGCCTGAGGGAGAGGGGAGGAGAGGAGCGGAGTGGAGTGGAACAGGGAGAAGAGGGGAGGACAGGCGAGGGGAGGGGAGGGGACAGGAGAGATAAGAGATTTTCTACAACTTTCTCAGGAAGGGTACAGTCTGGGGTAATAAATATTGTTTAATGTGTATTACAAGTGCTATGCAATTGAATTAATGAATGATAGGAGAGTAAAAGTCAAGGAATCAAGATCTGTTGCCAGGATGAGTGAGCATGACTGAGCCACACAACCCACGGATACCTTCTAGAAATGCAGACACAAAAACACAGACTGAGATTGAGACAGATTCTCTCTTATAATCAGTCGGCTTTATTCTATGCCTTCAAAGAAAAATGAAAAGCACACTAATTTCATCATGCAAAATTCAACAGGAAAACAGACATTAACAAAATAAGTTAAGCTATTAACAAAATAAACTGGGTATGTTGTATTTAAGAGGTCAATTCTCTTACCTTCACTGATAGCATGGGGTTTAACAATACAGCAGGTACAATTGGTAAACTTAGCAGTGTTTGCGGGCCTGCATCCTCCACTTGAAGGAAAAAATAACTCCATTTCCTAAATACAGAGGATAAAAAGATGACTTGAGCATATATGATCTCTTATCTTAAATTTATAGACATTTGGGTATGGGGAAGAATACAATTACAAGAATACAATTCTTGAAATCCCTTGCAATATCACAAGAACTGAACTACCTTCCCTCTTATCCCCCCAGACCCTGTCCCCACCAACCCTCCCTTTCCTGACAGCAGGATAGTCTGATCTAGTATTGATACAGCAATCAGAATAAAACTTGGAAAACCATTAGATCCTGTCATTCCTTGACACAGAAACTTCACAGTTTCCCATCTTGTTTGGAATGAATTTTCAAGTCTTATATTACAAGGTCTTATAAGGTATAGCTTGCTGTCTATACCTCTGACATTTCTACCACTTCTGATTTTGCCCCAGTACTGCTGGTCTTTTCCAACACTCACTGCTCTGAACACAGAAAACATGTTCCCATTTCAAACTCATGAATTGTTCTCTTTCTTTCTGGAATGTTCTTTCTATAGATACATTTATGATTTTTTTCCTCATTTACTTTAGATCTCTGCTCAAACCAGAGATTGAAAAGATGTCCTGAACATCTTGTGCTTAGAAGAACATCTTCCTCCATCCTTAAATTTTTCTCTCCTCTTTCTCTGCTTCATTTCCATTAGAACATTTAGCACCCGGAATGCCCTATGTCTATTTCTCCCATCAGAAGAGGTATATAGACTTCGTTTTATTCATTAACGGCTTCTCAAAAAGTACTTTGGATAAATGAAATTTAGAGACTTACAATTTCTGCATGTGCTGATAAAAGGAAATGTAACCACAGAACACACGAGAAAATGAGACCCAGAGAGCTTTAGTAATAAGGTAATACAAGTTAGCAAGTACAGAGTCACAATTTAAATTCAGGTCATTATAACTCCCAACAACTTGAACTGTTTCTGTATTCTCTCCCTTCCCAAAGCTAATGCCACATTATCCACCTCCACTTTAGCAAACTAGTTAGCCAATTATCTGGCCAATTACCTTTTTTTTCATATTAACTCTAATTAATTTTTGTTCAACTTCTTTTCTTACATAATAATTAAAAATAGAACTATCAATTTTCCAACTACCCAATTATATATGCTGAGCGAATAATTACTAAGAAAAAGAGCCTAGATACTTTAATTAAATATATCTTCTTAGCAAAAGTGAATAATTCTATGTGTTAGCATTGTACCTTTGCTTTTGCTTTTTCTCCATCGTTTGTCCTATCTGTCCTATCTATTAACCCATGCTATTATTTTCAAGAGAATTTGCAAGGTCCTTGTTATGGTAAATAATTCCAATTCCTCACACAATATACACATTCAGAAACCCGCTGTGGTCTTTTGTAATTTGAGGCACTAATGCATTTTGCATAAAATTGCTCTCCTAGCAAGGGTTCCTGCTATCACTCTAAGTTTTTCATGTTTCCTTAAATTTTCCAATGAAAGGAAGTTTACACAAATTTGGTAAGTTTTAAATATATTTTCTTCCACAAATTAAAAACATATATAACTGTGCTGCTTCATACTTTCACCATAACAAGATGCTATGGTAACTTCAACAGAGCATTTAAGAAATCTGTGTTAATATCTTTAATTATAATGATAAAATTATTACAAAATGGTGGCCAATTAAAAATCCATTAAAAACTTTTTACTTGTCTATAATAATTTTTAAATAAATAATATAGAGGAGTCCTGGGCTCCAGTGCTCATTTGGACAAGGAAGATTAAATTCCCTGACTCTCAGTTTCTCCAACAGTGCTTTGCACATAATTTAATTATCAGATGAACTCCAAGCAGATTGGAGGTGTGGCTCAGGAGGTAGAAAGCTAGCCAATGAGTGAAAGCAAGTGGTAGATAGTGAGTTCAAGTCCCAGTATCAGACAGGGGAAAAGAGAATTCCATGTTCAAAGACTAGTGAGGTATCATGGAATTAACAGAGGTAGACTATTCCTATTCAAAGTTGTCAAATGTACCTAGGCATACAGTAAAATAAGAGATGAACATTTTTCCTTGGATTTTAAAATTGAGCACACATGGGATGTCTTGGCCAAAACAGTTTTGGTGTGCCAAGTTCTATAGACTCTCCCAATGAGTAGTCAAAGGGAGATAGGGAATATAGTCTAGTCACAGAGAAATTTGAATATAAAAGGGAAAGCAAGATCAGAGAATAACTAACAGAGACCGAAGGTCTGGGGGAAGCTGTTGGGGCTGCTTAGATGATACATCTCAAATTCTGGTGAAGTCGTTGCTGCTTCTAACCTGCTGCATTTTCCAACCCCAGTATTTCTTCTTGATTCCTACTTAGCTAACAAGGTTTGGTCTGAAGCAAAGAAAGGTTATAAAATGACGCCTTCTTTTTAAAATAGTTACCAAACTCACACTAGTATTCTTACACAAATTCAACAATTCAAACATTTGTGAGTCTTAGTAATCTAAGTTTTTCACAGCAAGGAATAGGAATACAAGTGTTTTAATTGTTAAAAAACAATCTTGACCATGACCTGTCTACCAGATCAGAAATAAGTATCGCTGAACCAAGAGACAAGATGTCAAAAGGTATTCCTAGCACACTAGCTCAGCTATCTGATCTCATCCAAAGTAACCAGTGATAGAAATGCTTTCTTTTGACATGAAGTATTTGAAGAAATGAAAATGGAAGTAAAACATATTTAAAACACCTTACTCTGGCAGCGGAAGCAAAAGAATCGGGGCCATGAGCCGCATTTCTTATGCCGTCTGCTCCATAGAGGGCTCGGATGCTTCCTGGGGCATCTGCACGTGCCACCTCAGAGTTGGCAGGCCCAAGGAGTCTTTTCCATTCAGAGATAGCATCATCTCTTAAAACTTCCATGGCAATCACAGGCCCGCTTGTAATAAACTGGACCAGCTCACTACAAAACAGTAAAAGACTGATTTGCTTCTTTTCCTTTGGAAATGTTGCCTGGACATTTCTCTTGGCAATGTGGTATATTTATATTTGAGTATTTTAACAGAGACATGAGTAGACTTTCAAAATTATTGGACAGAGTAAAGTTTATATGATCAGTATAAGATTTTCAAAAATGTCTTACAGTGATCCAGTCCACTGCAAAAATCACTACAGAAGGAATGCCAAATAGATAATGACTGAAGTAAAAACAATCACTGTGGTTTTGGAAAAGAAATATTTAATTGGCTTAAAATACATAATGAGGATTTCACAGTGTTCTGAAGAACAGGAAGATTTTCCTTTTATTTCCATGTGGTTTATGACTTCAGTCAAGGGAAGATTTTATAATATACATTGTAATAAGAGCATCTTGTAACACTTCCAGTAAGAATTTAATTAGTGCTTTTAATCTATAACTAGGATTCAAGGAATGACAAAGAACTTTCAATCAAACTGATTTAGTGACAGAGAAGGGCAATCAACAAACACTAAAGAAATAGCCATTTATTGGTAGAAAGGCGACTCTAGGTTATTACTATATTAAATTAGGGGCTCTTGATTAAAAATCCAAGACTAATAGTTACCCAGAAAATAAAAAGCAAGAGCTTATGTTATTTTTCACTTCTACATGTGCACTGGCAGTAAGGGCATTTGCTGTGAAATAAGTGATATCATCCCCATATAATGTTAATCAGCGATGGAGTGCCTTTAAAAGAAAGTCCACCCAGACTAAAGAGAGGGCAGGGCCTGTCTGAAAAAAAAGAGCTTGCTTCTGGTTCAAGATTGAAACATGAAGTGATGCACTTTAAGATGTCTTATCTAATAAGATTACAGAGAAAAAGTTCTTTAAAAAGTTTTCTGTGCAGTTGCAAGTCATTATTTTGGCCCTATTGACAGATTATTGTCAGGCAATAAAGTTCTGAATTATAAGGCTATAACTCCGTAGTTTTCTAGGATATCCTGCCTTACCTACCACTGTCCCCCAGAATAAGTACCTACCTATACAAGGGCCTTCCGTGGTGGTCTACATGAAAATCGCTTCCTTCTTTCCTATAAAATAATCATAATGACAATGGTTAAGAATCATGAAAGCAATGAGTATTTTAGACTATATTAATAAAATAAAGATAAAATACAAAAATTTCTGTCTCATTTGTATGTGAATTAACATGATTTTTTTCACCAAATACCTCTTTCTGGTAAATAATTTACAAATATGAGTTAGATCTATATTTTTTCTTCTTCTAGTTTATTTGGAATGTTACACTGAGAGATTATAGGTACATTATTTTTTACAACTTATAAATAATTTTCTACAGCTATTATATAAAAGCAAAGTTTCTCTACATGTCATGCTTATCTATGTACTACTACCTAGAAACATAAGAAACTATGTGACTTTGGTTAAATAGATAGGACTGGAGATTAAAAAAAGAAAAACTGGACCACATGGTGCCCTTATTTCTGGTAAGCACCAGGGCTAAATGTCAAATCAACTGTAAGTATTCACAGCTCCTAGTCTAGCCTAAGTCACTGTCTTTACACTTGAACTGCTCCATTATCTTTTTACCTTCCCCCAACCTCTGGCCTCTTTCCCTTCTAGTTGTCACTGCTGCACACAGAGAGATTTCTCTAAAGCATTGCATACTGTGTGTGAAATGCTTTGACTCCCTCTTGAGTCATATCTATTTTGAGATATAAAATTTAAATGAAGATAAGAAGCAGTATTTATTTTTCCACTTATACTATTTCATCCACTTATACTATTTTTCCACTTATACTATTTCATCCATTTCCTTTCTACCAGCATCTTCAATGCTCTAGAAACAAAACCTAATATTTGGCCAATATTTGTTAAAGCCCAAGTAAGTTGTATCAAAGAATGGAAAGTCATCTTCCAACTCAAAATTTTTTACTTTTTCTGCAGGTTTTTAACATAGGAGTTTTAACATAGGAGTTTAAGCTCTTGGTTTTACTATCATTCTTAGCTTGACTGCACCAAAGGGAAGCTCAATACACTTGAATTTTTAAAAGGTGCTTCATATAAACGAGGCACCTTGATGTTTTTGTCTGGGATTGTTCAGCTTTGTTGGTGGTACTGCATTTGAACTCAGGGCTTTCACTTGCCATGCAGGTGTGCTATGTTTGGGTCATATCCCCAGGCCTTTTTTTAATAATGGTTATTCTGTTTCAATAGGGTCTCACTTTTTGCCAGAGCCCAGACCAGGACCAGGATCTGCCTATTTCATGCTTCTTATCATAGTCAGAATAACAAGTATGTAGTACCATGCCCAGCTTCTTCTCCTGAGATGGGAGTGGTGAGGACTTTCTGTCCAGATTGGCCTACAACAGCAATCCTCCCAACCCCAAACTCCAACTGAGCTAGAGGACAGGCACAAGCCATCACACCCATACTTAGTGATTGGCTGAGATGGGTCTTGTGAACTTTGTTTCCAGTCATATTAATGTATTCTTATTAGTTATTAATAGATTAAAACCTAATATTCTATTTGACATCAAGGAAAGAACATGGAACTAATCAGAATTCAGAGTTATGGTCACTAATTCTATTAATGCTAACAGGAATTCATTTTTCAAATTTATATTTCTACTAAAGAACTATAAAGACAATTTAAAGATAATTCATGTTAAACTAATACTCTGAAAACTGTAAAGAAGATAAACTTTTTAAGCAAATCAGATGCCTTTCCTATATCTGTGTCACTTTTCTTAAAGAATTTAAATTGAAACTGGACAGTGGTGACTCATGCCTGTCATCCTACCTACTCTGGAGGGGCTGAGATCTGAGAACTGAGGTTCAAAGCCAGCCCAGGCAGGAAAGTTTGTGAGACTCTTATCTCCAATTAACCACCAGAAAACTGCAAGTAATGTTGTGGCTTGAAAGAGTGCTAGCCTTGAGCAAAAAGAGCCCAGGAACAGTGACCAAGCCCCCAATATATCTGACAAAAAAAAAATGTTTTAAAGAGAGTTCACAGCATGTTAAGGATATTTAAACATCAATTATTTTTAAATAAGTTTTTTATTGTGAAAATACTGTACAGAGGGGCTACAATCACATGAGCAAGATAATGAGATAATTTATTCCCAAGCATTGTTGTCTCCTCCTTTGTTTTTTCCCTATCATCCCTTCCCTCCCCTCCACAACTACATCCCCCACCCCCACCTAAATTGTAAAGTTCAGTTTTAGACAGAGCGTCTTGTGCCTCTCATTGTTGCAATAGGTCAATCTGTATCCCTATTTAAACAATTTTTTTTCCCTTCTGCTCCCTAAATTATACCAACATCAAATGCAGTGAAAACAAGGGTTATACTGTGGGGGAGGGACATACAAACGTGGTACCTTAAAAATACATTAGAAACAATAGGAAGAAAGAAAAAACCACTTTTAAAAATAATACTTTAACTAAGAGGGTCTTACCATATAGGCCCAGCTGCTCTCAAACTCACTATACTCCTGTCTACTTTGCTATTCACTAAGAGGTTTTTCTTTTTCTTTTTTTCTTAGTTTTAAAAAGCGATGGAAAGAAATTTTTTAAGTGAATCAAATATTATATAACTGAAAATTATCAACAAATTACCTTGAAAGTTTCATCATTTTGAGTTTGGTTATAGTAAATCCAGCTTTGTTTATCATTTCAATTATTTCTCCAGCCTTGGGTACTGCATCAGGTTTAATCAGGGCTAATGTTCTGTAAAATAATAATAGTAATAATAATAATGAATAAGTTTGAAAATAAAAAGTTCTACAGTTTGTATTTGTAACTCCTGAGCACTGGTAATTTCCTTAACAGAAATCCTAAAAGCCAAGAAAGTGCAGAATGATACATTTCAAGTTCTAAAAGTAAATAACCTTTACCCTAAATTACTATACTCATCAGTTATATTTTAAAATTAATGAACAAGCTGGGCACTGATGGCTCACACCTGTCATCCTAGCTACTCAGGAGGCTGAGATCTGAGGATCACAGTTCAAAGCCAGCCCGGACAGGAAAGTCCATGAGACTCTTCTCTCTAATAAACCATTCAGAAAACCGGAAGTGGCACTGTGGCTCAAGTGATAGAGCACTAGCCTTGAGTTGAAAAGCTGAGGGATGGCACTCAGGCCCAGAGTTCAAGTCCCACAACCAACAACAACAAAAAAAAATTAATGGACAAATAAAGATGTTCCAAGATAAACATAAACTAACGCAATGATGACCACTAATCCAAAACTGCACAAGCTATTTAAGTAATCCTACATACCAATGTATAAGAAAGGAAGTCACAATTATGAGGAGTCAAGAAAGAATAATGCAGAATAGATGAACATATGAGAAAAACAAAAGAGTCAAACATGGCCAACTGAGTAAAACAGCAAATTCCTAAGAATAGGATGGGAGAAAGAAAAAAGACTAGTAATTAAATAATTCAAATTTAATAATTCAAACAGTAGTTGAATAAGCCAGGAAAAAAAGCCAATGAAATTACACAAATCAGCAAACACCTCTCATTAATAACCTTAAATAACCTTAAAGTCTGAACTCTCCATTAAAAAGATGACAGTTAGATGACTAGATTGAAAACATTATCTATTTGTTGTCAACATGATACTCAACTCCCTGGCTCACAAAGATTGAAAGTGAAAAGTAGAAACTGAAAGCAGGGAGGAGAGACTATATCCATAAACAATGTAGAAAAAGTAGACTGAGTCGTAGCTTGAAAAGAGAAAGGAAGTTAGTAGGAATTAGTAGGGAATAAAACACCAAGAACATAGAATGATGAGAGACTTACATGCACCACTGACTGGAGTGCCGAATTTCATGAAGCAAATCCACTGTATATTCAGGGACAGACAGACTGACACAAGAATAGTGGGGAACCCAAATTCTTAACTCTCATCAATAGATACATCATCCAGACAAAACAAACAACATAAGAAAACAAGCAACAAAAAGACTACAAAGTTAAACCATTAAGCAAATGGACTTAACAACAATCTATAGAAAATTGCACCCAAAAGTAAATTTATAGAAAATTGTACCCATAAGCTTTGCAATACACATTCTCTTCTCAGCAACCACAGAATTTTCTCTAAAATACACTGCATTTTAGTCCATAAAGTATCTATTAACAAACACAAGAAAAAAATGAAATATTTTCTTGTGTATTAGAATACCATGATGGAAAAAATAAAATAAAAATAACAACAACCCAATACTTTAGAAATTACTTAATCATTCCTACTAAAGAACAAATCACATAATCTTTTCCAAAATACTGTAAATGTATCATAACATGAAAATGACTTCATTGAAAATTGTCTACATTAGGAAAACAAAAGAAAAATACAAAATTAGCTTATATCTAGCCTCCAACGTTCATTTAAGCATGAGAAGGATTCTCTTACTTTTCTTTTCTACTGCCAAGTTGGCGAGATGTATACTGGTCCCCATAGTCTACCAACACCAGTTGTCGAGAAAACACATTCACTTTGTTGCCTATAAATAAATCTTCCATGTGTAGGTCATCATATTTAGTCCGCTTTAAAAAAGTACGACGATTCTTTAGGTCATGCTAGAACAGAAAAAAAACACACAATAAAAAACTTACCAATAAAGAATGCTAACTTTATGAGGTAGAAATAGTTCTTAATTCTGACTTTATCAAAATAGGCTACATCCTGTTCATTTTTTGTTACCAATATAAATCGGTATGTTTTGTGCATGTGCTAGGGCCTCCGGCTTGATTTCAAGGTCTAGGCACTGTCCCTGAGGTGTTTTTTTTGTTGTTGTTTGTTTTGTTTTGCTCAAGACAAGCACTCTATCACTTAACCAAAGCTCTACTTCCAGTTTTTTGGTGGTTAATTAGAGATAGTTCTCACCAACTTTTCTACCCAGCTGCTTTGAGGCACAATCCTCAGACCTCAGCCTCCTGAATAGCAGGGGTTATAGGTGTGAGCCACTGATACCTAGCCATAACTTTTATATTATATATTTGTATCTGCTAATGTAACTTATTCATAATATAGCTTTTTTATTAAAGCATATTGCTGACGCTGACTGTAGCTGGCTCATGGCAGTAACTGTAGCTATTCAGGAGGCCAGTTTCTAAAGACGGCAATTTGAAGCCAGCCTGGCAGAAAAGCCTAAGTAAGAGACTCTCTCAAACAAGGAAAATGCCAGTGTGGAGATGTGTTGAGTACCAGACATGAGCTAGAAAGCCCAGCGAGAACTCAGGGCCCTGAGTTCTAGCCCCACTAGAAACACAATTGTTTTTAACATTTAGAATGTAAAATATAACATAAAACAAATATATTAAAACATAAATAATAATATAAACATAATGACATATAAAACACCCCAAATAGAAAGATTTTTTTTTTATGGCCCAACTTTTTCAGTAAATAAAATCCCAGAGAAAAGAATCATTTGCCCAAATATCTGCTTTTACACACAGTCTAATACCAAGTAGAAAAACTTGTTAAAGTGTGACCAGGAAAAGGACAAAAAGCTCAATGATCTTCAATTTGACTATTTATAGAGATGACAATTTTCAATAATGATGACATATATGATCATGATAACCTTTCTCTATCAATTATAACCTAATCCACAACAATAATTCCATTTTGGTTTATGCTACTGCCTTGATTATTGATATTATGGGCATTCACCACTATACCCTGCTCCACTTCAGTTTCCTAAATAACATTATTTCAATTTCTGATATTCAAAATATAGGCATAGCCCATACACCAATGGTTCATGTCTATAAGCATAGCTATTCAGGAGGCTGAGATCTGAAAATCATAGGTCAAATCTAGTATGGGCAGAATTCCAAGAGATTCTTACTTCTAATTAACCAGCAAAACTCAAAAGCTAGAGGCATGGCTCAAGTGGTAGAGCACTAGGTATGCATGAAAATGCCAAGCATGAGTGAAAGGTTCAGAGTTTAATAAGCCCCAGTATAATACACACACACACACACACATACATACATGACCACATACATCACACACATACATACACAAGGCATGGTGGTGCATGTCTACAATCTCAACACTTGAGAGGGTAAGGCAGGAGAAATGTAATCTCAAGGAAGCCTGAGATATATAGTGAGACTCTGTCTACAAAAAAAAAAAAGAACAAAAAATCTTGTTTTGGTATCATAGTAAATACATCAAATTACAGTAGAATGTATCTTATAAACATGGTTTTTAAAACAGCAGTATAAAAGACAATTCTATTCCTGTCTTTGCCCCACCTTCTCCTTTTCCAATTTGAAGCAAAGAAGGTTCATTTACCATCTCAACAGACCCATCCGCTGGGTAAAAGAAAAGATCATAACGTCGGAGAAGTGAAGCATTTGGATCATACCACTCTGCGATGAAGGCAAATCTCTCATTATGATTCTGTGAGGAAAAATAAAAAGATTTTTAACACTAACATATAAAGTATAAGCACACTTGTATAAGTCATACGAAATGAAAGAAAAGTTTCCAAGTATTTGCAACAAATAAATCTGCTACTACCTATCACATTGAACTATTTTGCTTTCCTCAGAAATTGTCTGCTAATTTCTTATTAATACTTTTAGATATTTCAAAGATGAGTTATGAAATCTTTAATATATTTCTGAAACATGCAATCAACAACACATCCTAAATCAGCCTTTTTTAGAACATGAGCTCCTGACTACTGAAAGAATTTCAGTCTTCCTGAAGACAAATTTACATACAGACTACCACACAACCTAATGTGGGAAAAAATTCAGAGAGGTTCAACTGCAGTAAGTTTTTGCGTTTTTTTTTGTTTTTTTGTTTTTTTTTTTGGTCGGTCGTGGGGCTTGAACTCTGGGCCTAGGCGCTGTCCCTGCACTCTTCAGCTCAAGGCGAGCGCTTTACTGCTTGAGCCACAGCACCACTTCTGGTTTTCTGGTGGTATATTGGAGATAAGAGTCTCACGGAGTTTCCTGCCTGGGCTGGCTTTGAACCGCAATCCTCAGATCTCAGACTCCTGAGCAGCTAGGATTACAAGCCTGAGCCACTGGCGCCTGGCTCAACTGCAGTAAATTTTAACAATCTTAAGCCTGAAGAATCTGGCAACATTTAGCTATTGTCATTAAAATTATGAACTTCATGAAGGCAAATTCCTGAAAGGGGAAATGAAGAGGGAGCCAGGGAAAAAGGAAATAAAATAACAAAAGACAAAACACCCTAAACCAAAGCAGAGAAGCTATCCCACATAATACAGACAAGCAAGGGGAGAGGCAAATCCACTAAGAACAAATCTACAGCCACGGTTTGGTTTAGAAACTAAAGAAAAGAAAAATCATTCCAATTTTTAGAAAAGGCTACACTATATGCCTCAATATAAAGCTAAGGTATGGAGTGTCTACACGCTATACTAAACTCAGGCTAGACTTTTCTTTAATATTAAGCTAAAATAAAAAACATCTGCTGTATCTGCAGAATGGTCCTGTAAGTAACATCTGTTACTTACGCTCTTCTACATTCTATATGCTCAGTCTCTCCAATTGGAGAATAGAAAACATACCTGTTACAGCTGTAAAAATTAATGTGATTGCCTTGTAAAATTCACATAACACTTTTTATGCAACTATTGATCAAGATGCTCTGTCAAGCACTTTTATAATTTTTTGTATTTTTCACTTCTATTTGATGCTATGCATTTTTATAACATCAACTTGTTTTGCAAAAGTTGTTTCATCTCACCTTCTAAAAGTGAAAAATGCCATTTTAAATATGGTATACAAAATAGTAGCCTACTCAGTGACATTCTGGTATAAGTCATTTTATAGTAGGAATACTTTTTTTTTGGGGGGGGGGGGCTGGTTGTGGGACTTGAATTCTGGGCGTGGGCACTGTCCCTGAGTTTTTTCACTCAAGGCTAGCCATCTATCACTTTGAGCCACAACATCACTTCCAGTTTTCTGGTAATTAATTGGAGATAAGAGTCTCATAGTCTCATTTCCTGCCTGGGCTGGCTTTGAACCACTATCTTCAGATCTCAGCCTCTTAAGTCACTAGGACTCCAGGTGTGAGCCACCAGCACCTGGCTAGTAGACCACTTTTTGAAAATAGTTTCATTACTATGCACAAGTGATTACATAACTTAGTTTATTCCATGCATTTTCAAAATGTTTTCCTTTTCAATTTCCTTTCAATTTCTTTTCCAATTCCTTTAAAACAATAGCTAAAAAGCAATAGAAATGATAGGCTTCTTTGTAATATTTAAAAACCATATATGTACTATCAACAAGATAATGACAGAATTTGTAGGTAATGCTAGAAGAAAACCTAAGATTTAGATAGATGATTTGGTCACATTCTGGACTTTATGACCATAGAAAAGGTACTCTACCACAAATGTCAGTGATTCAAACATTCTGCCCACTGCCCATACCTTCCCACCCTTTAGCTACTTTGTTCAACTTCTTCTTTTATTATACATCAAGTTCTTTTTTAAAGTCATCAATTTTGTGGCCTAGCTGCTACCAAAAATGTTAAAAGAATTAGCTATACTTATTGTGATTTTTGCATCACCCATATCTATTGTGTAGTTCTGGCATCAATCTATTATTCCCAACCTATATTTAATTTTCATTTAGCTGACCCCAAAATAGCTCTTGACAGAAGAAAGGATTTCCTACCCTGGAAGTAATGGTCAACTTGATAATGGGTCATGTAAACCAATCACCTTTTCTGTGCACATGTATTTCCTTTTTTACTGTAAGAGTGGCGTCAGAGGGGTTACAGTTCGTAAGTGAGGTGATGAGTACATTTCTTGTCAAACATTGCTACCTCTTCCCTTTATTTTCCCACTTTCCCTCCCATCCCCACTCCCCTCCCCCTCCATTCATTTCCAACACAGTGTCTGGTGAGTATCGCTGCTGCATTGGTTCACCCTTTCTCCTTTGTCTCACCATTTTGTTATTCCCTCTTCCCTTCCCCAAATCAGATAAACATAAACAGAGTACCAAAATCAAAAACAGTGACAACAGGGGATAAAACAAAGGGAAAAAAATGAAAGAAAAAAAATAACTTCACACAGTACATTAAAAAACAAAAACAAAGAAACAAAATTTAAAAAAAAAACTCTTGCTTCCATATGTTGGCATTCATTTCAATTAGCATCATTCCACCAGAAAGAATGACACAGCTCCATTCATAAGCAAATGGAAAGACTAAGAAAATGTCCTATTAAGTGAAGTAAGCCAGACCCAAAGAAATATAGGCCCCATGGCTTCCTCATTTGTAATAATTAGCATACGTCTGGGATAGTCCAGAGGCTCACAATAGCCCAATGGCTATTCACATATGACCATACAAAATGTACACATATATTTAAACAAGAAAAAGACATGAATCCAATCTGTCAGTTCAAAAACAAGTGTAGTAAGCCACTGTACACCTGCCTCGCGCATTTCAGTGTTACTGACAGGGAGGCCGTTCCATCTCTGCTGATGCTGTACGTCAGCAAATGGCACTCAGGTCTGGTACTCCAGGCATTGCTGAGTGCAACAAGAATACCAGACCAACAAGTCTGCTGCTGAGAGCACTTCCTGGCAGTGTACAGTAAGTGAAATGGCCCTGAAACACGCTACTTAAGGAGAAGATGCAGGAGACTGTGTAAGGTTTTCTCTTGGGGTCAAATGGAAAATGCTTCAGGATGTTTAAGATCACAGACTCTGGAGTCAACAAATTTCTTTATAATATCAGATACAATACTTAAGCATCTAAGTCTTCATTTCCCTGTGTGTAGAGTGGGAATAGTCATTTAACTGTCTTCACAGGGTAGCAGCAGAAATTGCATGACTTGGTGTACATGACCGCTTGGGAGTTCCCTTGTCCCAAGTCTCCCACAGCAATGACAGCGGCTTACAGGTCTAGCAATGACAGGCTTACAGAGCTGCAGGGCACACACTGCTCTCCCTCTTTGGTCCTGTTCTGATACACAGAAGAATCCCATCTTGATTTGTGATGCCACAGACACAGCTTCAACTAATCCTAGTTAAACAGTTTTTTTAAAGGTTTTGAGGAAAAATCAATATAGAGGATAAAGGAACTTGTGGTAGGCAGAAAATGGGAAATGTGATTAAAACCATATTTATGAATAAAAACTCCTAGATATATACATATATATAAATATATATGTATACAAACATGTGTACACGTACACATGTGTATATATGTGCACATATATGTATTTCTGTAGCAGTAAGTATTTTTAAGTGACATGAGAGTTCAAATTCTTGCCTTGTGGGAAACTCAGACCACAATGGATCTTTTTATTAAAAAAAAAAAAAAATTGAAAGCCAGGCACTGGTAGCACACACCTGTAATCCTGGCTACTCAGGAGGCTGAAATCAGAGGATCATGGTTCAAAGACAGCTTGGGCAGGACAGTCCATGGAACCACAAAAAAGCCAGAACTGGAGCTATGGCTCAAGTGGTAAAGCTCTAGCCGCCTTGAGCAAACAAACAAACAAATAAATAAATAAACTTTTAAATCTGAGTTCAAGCTCTAGAATACACAAAAAAACTAATTTTTTAAATCTTGTAACACTATTGGTTACATAGCAATAGCTAGTTTTGTAATTTAAACTTCTCAAAGAAAATGCCTGAAAAAAATTGTAAATTATATTAATAAATATTGAATTTGTTTTATACTGCATATGCAAGAAATTAAATTGTGAAATTAAATTGTCACCTAACATAAAATGTTATGAAAACAATAATAAAGCATTCATATTCACATGGTAAAGACAAATTTTAAAGCCATATTTAAAGACATTCCACTGTCAGCAACACATATATCCATGTAACTATCTGTGTTGGTACTCTAAGATTCAGAAATAATTATTTAGCTATGTTTCCAGGACCATACAGGTCCTGCCTCCAATTTCATATGCAAAGTAAAATTCTTCATATTTTACTTAAAATATATACAGATGACAAAGTACTTCAATTCAAGTATTTCTGGTCTCAACAATAAAGCATGGGAAATTATTTTCAAGTAAACTATCCAAATCTCCATTTAATGTTCCCAAGTAAAATCCTAAAGAATCTTTCCTAGTATTTTACTTCTTTGAAGTAATAAGCCTGGTGGGAAGGCAGGGAAAACTGAAAATTATTATTTATCTTTACATCATAAATTCAGAAGAAATAAAATATTAATATGAATGGAAAATCAATCCCTCACACCAGGCACCAACAGCACACACCTGTAATCCTAGTTACTCAAATTAAGATCTGAGGATCTTGGTTCAAAGCCAGCACAGGCAGGAAAGATCTAAGACTTATCTCCAACCAACCAACAAAAAAAGCAATTAGTGGAGCTGTGCTCAAATACTAGCCTTTGGTGAAAAAGCTCAGGGACAGCGCCCAAGC